CAGTGCTAATGGCTACATTAGTGGTAGCATGCTGCCCAGTCATCCAGAATGACAGCCCAGGGCTGCTGGCAGGTGACCCAAGCCTTGCCTCGTGCTGCCCTTTCTTGCCATTTGCTGAATGTTTGCTCCCAGGGAGAAGCCAGGAAAGATAATTCAAAAGCCAGTGCCTTGATATCAAAGAATTCTACAGATAAAAAGACCCATTATTTAGGTCAGTGTCAATGGCTTCTGCAGGATTCCAGAGGACCCTGTTTTATTCCAGAGGACCCTGGCCACTTAATTCTGAGTTGTCCCAAAGACAAGCACTCCAAGAGTGGCTGTAATCAAGGGACATCGTTGTTGAGTGGGTGTGGGACAGCAGGACAAGGTAGGGGCCATCTGCCACTCGCACTGTTCCTCAAGAATCCAAGAGGGTGTGAGCTGCAAGGATTCAAAGCAGGAGCACATGGAGCCTACAGGGATGGGGCTGCCTGGCTTGTTGTCTTGCCTGAGACTTTTACACGTATCTTTTTGACACAGCATCAGATACTTCCTGATAATGAAGGCAAGAAAGATGTACCACAGCAAGTTTTGTAAAGGTAACAGTTGTTGGGCTTGAATGTGAGTATGTGTGAGTGAGTATGTGTGAGTGTGAGTATGTGTGTCTGTGTGTGTGTGTGTGTGTGTGTGTGTGTGTGTGTGCACATGAGCTCCTGTTTGCATCACTGTGCTGCTGAGAAATTGCAACGTGCCTTATAGACCGGCACCTAGGCAAAGCTATGATAATCATGAGGACCCAGGGAAGAAAAAGTGCTCAAGAAATACTTCCCATTCACTTTTTTAAAAAAACTATAGCTCTTCAATTAACAAATGTTTGAAAACCCTCTGATTTTTAATTTAATTTCATTGTAGTTGTTTGTATACTTGCTGTGCAATGTGCACACTGTATGGTCATATGACACACAGTGTCTCATTTCATTTCATTATCATACTTATACCCAGCATCACTGTCCCCAATTTGTGGACGAACTGGGAAGCAAGAGAATGGTCACACAAGCAACAGAGCCTGAGACCTTATTCCTTACTCTGAATGTGGAACAGTGACAAAGGGTCAAGACTAACCATGGGCATTGTGACCTATACTCTCCTGATCTAGGCATGATGTGGGAGATGAGAATGGTCTTCTCATTAGTATACAGCCCACACCAGGCCAGATTTCGCTGGAGGATAGAAGCTACAGACCCCAGTCTCCCAGTGAATACCTGCAGCAGCCCATGGAGCTGCCCTCTCTTCCTGCAGATCTCCTAGGCCGCCTGTGCTTTGGGTTGCATACAAGACAGCAGCCAACGAGGTTCCAAGTATTGGAGCAGACATCTGGATGGAGAGAGAAGAGGGACAGTGCCACCCAGTAGTTACAGCAGGTGTGGACACCCCAGGAGCTCACACTGTGGGATGCTCCCTTTGTGAGACTGGTTTCCCCAGAGGTGCTGCTGTTCACCCCTTGCTAGGATGGTACATACGCCTGAGACAGCCCCACTTTGCTGAGCTGATGTGGATTGTTTTGTATGCTCACACCATTTGCTGTCAGTCTTGCGGAGAAGTGAATTCTACATGGCTGTAGTATGTTGGGACTTAGAAAGTATGGCCTAACTGACTCTCAGATGTTGGTATTCCTAAAAGGCTGTGGGCTGAAATGGAACTTGGAATCCAAAGTGTGTTTATAACACATCACCAAATTACTACTAGTAGAATAATTTTTGAAATATTTCAGATAATTTCAGGTGATCTTGAAAACAAATAAAATTACAAAGTTTTATAAAGTCCAGAAAGCATTACAAATGTCTTTGATTTAGAAATTCCAGGTGATCTGAATCAATAACTGTGATTTCATTCTTATCTGTGCAAACTCTAGCAGATTTTAGCAGCAACTCAGTGAGAGTAGGTCATTTTCTGCACAGCCCTAGCAGGTTCAGTGACAGTGGCTGCTAATGAATGGTCTAGACCATGTGAATACATCATGTTTAATTCTCACAACAATCCAGCCCAGGTAGTGGTATTGATCCTCTATCTCTCTAGTCAGGAGCACTGAGGTCTAATGAAGCTAGAACCTTGCTCAAGTGCATAGATGGGAAACAGCAGCTCACATTACTTCAAAGTTCCTTGACATTCTGAGTGCTTTTATCATTACCTGACTATTTTTTTTGTCTTTTTCATTTTTATCGGTACCAGGGATCGAACTCACGACTGCCTGCTTGCAAGGCAGGCAATTATGCCACTGAGCTAAATCCCCAGCCCCTATCACCTGACTATTCTGAGCCACCAAAACTACTAGGTATACTTTCCTTCAAATGTGATATTATTTTATTGCCCACCAGCATGTATGGTTCCCTAACTCCTCTAACATTGGGTCTATTTCTCTGCTTACAAGGTGTGTGTTATGGTTTGTGTCTGGATGGCCTCTAAGCCTCATGCACTCATGGAGGTGACTGAGTCTAGCAATTGTGATTGGTTCATTGTCTAGAACTGGGATTGATGGTGTGAGTGCTACACCCCACCAGGAGTGGAGCTGGCATCCAAATATGGGGGAGGGAAGGAGGCACACTTCCCCTTTTTGCTCTTGTTGCTTGTGGCCACCATGAATGGTTGCCCCTCAGGCATGCCACTCTGCCTTGGAGCCAGCTGAGTATGGACTAAAACCTCCAAAAAACTGTAAGCTAAATAAACCTTTCCTTGGTTCATTTTGAATGTTAGGTATTTTGTCTTAACAACGAGAGAAAAGTAACCAAGACAGTGCAATAAAAAAATTACTGATGTTTAAATTAAAATTTTAAGGACAGGGATGTTGGCAGATACCTCTAACCCCTCATGAGGCTGAGGCAAGAGGATAGTTGTGAGTCTGAGACCATCTTAGGCTAAATAGTGTGTTCAAGGCCAGTCTGAACCACAGAGTAGATCCTGTCTCAAAAATAAAATTAAGAAGTATTACAATAAAAGACTCATTACCATTAATCTTCCTCAAAATGCTCTCCTTGACTTCAAACACACTTATCCCACCATTCATGCTAGTTTCTGAAGTAGTTCAGGATGTCCTCTTTCTTTTCCATGTGTGAATGCACAGTGTGCCATCCAACAGCAAGATAGACTTCTGAGCACAACAGGGTGTGTCCTTACCCACCTTATTCACTGGAACGAGCACTGCATGTATTTTGGCTCCTCCTCAAAGTCAAAATGGCCATGAAAAGTCGACATTTTGGATCAATTCAGGCCACTGAGGCAGCCATAACAGGGCACTTAGAGACATTCACAAATGAGGACTTCAGAGCTGCTTCAGAGAGTGACAACAATGACAGGATAGGATAAGAATGTTTTGAAGTGAGAGAATGCATTTTGAGCAGAATTAATGGCACTGTGTCTTTTAGGTAATAATTTTTCACTGAAACATTCAATGTATGTTTTGATCATGCCGCCTATCTCAGCCTGCACCAGTAAGTTCTTTAGAGAGCTCTGCTATAGGCAAAGCTCCTCACTTATCCTCAGATAGTTCCCCAAACCCACCTGCTTTCCCTATCCACAAGCACTACCAGGCACTATGCTTCCATAGGTAGAAGTTTTATTCTTTGATGTCAGAGATAGAGAATTAAATCTCTTTTTTCTGTCCCAGGGGGAGGTGGTACAAGCTGCATCATAAAACTCACACACTTTGCAAATGGAATTAACTATCTCATGGATTAAAGAGGAATGGCAGCAGCTCTCCTGCTCAGCCTAATGCCATTTAATCAGTCTTTGGTCATCTGAAGGGAGGCAAGATCAGAGAAATAAATCCAGGAATGGTGAGTGAGGATCTTGAAGCCTCACACTGTATCTTGGCTGAAGGGAAATGAGTTGAGGTGGCTGAAACTCTCCAGGATGGGGCTGGGCCACAGGTCCTCAGGTAGTCAGGTTCAGCTGCTTGGCACAAAACTGCTGGCCATAGCATGAGGCTTGGGCAACAGAAGAGCACAATACTTAACCTGGGGTATCAAGGAAGCCTGCAAACACAAAGCTCACAGATGCAGGGTTTATTGGAAAGTGATTTTTTAATATCATCAGTTGACAACCTCTTACAGGTACTAAAATGCCAAAGTTCCTCAAATGGAGAGGGTCTCAGAAGGGCTCATTGCCCCAAACTCACACTCCACCACTGCTCGGCCCTTCCCAGCAGACTTGCAAGTGACTGCATTACTGTGGTGGTGGAGGGAGCAGGTAGGGTCCAGAACCAGCCATCCTGTGGTATCTTTGACCTCCTATCCCAGGTTTTCTACTTTGTTGTTTCTTTATCTTTAAGGTGAGCAGTGGAGCTAATGTCAGTCTTTCCCATGTAAGAATCCCCTGGAGACCTTGCTGAAAGCGGGTTCTGACTCAGGTCTATGATGGCCTGAGATTCTGTAGTTTATCCAGCTCTCAGGGATGCACTGGGCACTGACAGCCCCATCTGTACTTTCTTTTAATGCAAATCAGTTCCCAGGAGCCTCAAACCAGTGGAAGATAAGCTGCCCTGGATGGACCTGGTCTGTTAGGCTGTAGATGAACAGGAAGAGAAGCTGGGGCTTCTGCCGCAGAGCCCAGTATGGGATGAGGCCAGGTCCTGAGAACACTCAGGTGGGCTATGGGGGCGCTGGATGTATCATGAGGGTGACAGGGCATCTACAGCGAAAGAGGTAGTATAAATACTGCCACCACCTTAACGTTTTGTTGCTGTCTGGAAACTTTCTATGCATGAAGTGAGCTGGAGTCCAAGTAACTGGAACTTGAGGATCTGGTTTGGTTGTGGTACTGTTTTCCTCATCTGACCTTCATAAAAACTTGGTAAAACAATAGTCGCCCAATTGCACAGTGGACATAATAAAAATAACACTAGCCTGGGTCTGACTAGCTAGGAAAGGCTCTTCTGCTTCCTGCGTCACACTAAAACTGAAAGCAAGTCCCATCCCCAAGCCCCCAAGCTGTCAAAAATGTCGGATAAAAGAAGAAAAACTCAGACATTTTGACTTTTTAGCACAGGACATGCATTTTAATCATATACAAACAAACAAATGAATACATCAAAATAATTACATTAATAATGCAGATTTCTAGTTAAGTATAGAAAAATTCATAAGTCCATTAGGACCTCAAAACCTGCATCGTCTAATCAGATTTACTGATACCAGTATGTCACATTTGATGTGAAAAATTTTCATAGAAAGAAAAAAGTAAAAGTTGAAATCACAGTACGGAAAAGAATCCACAGATTTTGATGACTTGAAGCTTAAATACCATCCAATTAGGGCTCATACTGAGAGGAACATAATCCATTACATGCTTATGTAATGGGGGGGGGTTGCGTTGATCATTTAGAAGTAAAATCAATTAAAAAGTTTGAGAAATTCAAAACCATAGTCTCAGCATCTGAGTCTGAAAAGCTGATTTATTTTAATTTGCAATAGCTTTAAATCCAAATTTCAAACATTAACAGTAACAAAAACTACTAGAATTCTCCGTAAAGAGCCAGCCTTTAACTTAGGTATTTATAACTAAAAAAACATTACTTCCAAAGATAAGGCCTCTGACCCATGCATATATATGGGGAGTCAAAGATTTGGAAAGAATTATTATTTAGAAATGATTGTAATAAACCATGTTCCATGCATATCCTCAAAGTAAGGAAAGATTCTCTAGGCTAAAAAATAACTTAGGTTTTAATTTGCTCAGTGAAGCCAAATGCTATCTTGCTTCAGCTTGTGGAAAGACCAAGCTAACAGAAAGCAAATTGAAAATCCTCTACCTGCTACCTCCAGCCCCCAGCTCCAGCCCTCCCCGAGCATAACAAACTCTTTTCAAAAGCCAGGAAATAGGTATGTGCATTTTCGGTTGGTTTTGCTTTTGTTTTTCTTCATTTTTGGTGTTTCCTGTTACCTGCACTTTAATTTCTTATTCACAAAAGAAGTCAATATCCTGGAGGGGAGGAAAAAAAGACAATAAAGGATTGAACTAAGTAGTCTGGGCCAGAAAACAGATGTAAGTTCTTTATTTAAAATCAGATTTAATAAAAGAGAAAATTGGATTTAAAAATAAGTCAAGGTTGAACCTCAAAGAGTATAAAATAATTATCACTTGAAGTCAAAAACTACTTAAAGTGAAGGTCCTCGGATAAACTTTTAATTTCTGGTTATTTGACAGATCAAGCTCTGTGCTCAGAAGTGATGACAAGCGAGGTGGATTTGTGTAGGCTGTGCACTGTGTGAAGCTCAGTAATTAGCTTCTGGAGAATCACTTCAAAACAACCACCTTGCAAAGCATCTCAGAGAGGATCTTTTATTTTTGCCAGGAGTTTACAGGACCCCAGGGCATTAATAAGAGGATGATTTTATTTCATACATAAATAGAAAAAAAATAAAGCACAAAAATAAGGCAAAGATTTTCCTAGAATGTTTTGATTTTATCAAACACAGGTGCTAATTTTTTCTCCAACTTATAGTCTTTAAATCAGTGCAAACTCTCTCTAAGTGTCAGTTGATGCTAATTTGGTTTCTTTCTTTGTGACATGGACTCCTTCCAGGATAACTCCAATCTAAAACAAAAGGAGTACTGAACTGTGTACTTGAAATTTGCTTTAAACATTCTCTCTGTCTCTCTTGTCTCTGTCTCTGTCTCTCTGTCTCACACATACACATAAAACTGACTACATGTGGTGATAGATGTTAACAAACTTGATCATGATGATCATTTTACAATATATGTATATATCAAAACATCAAATTGATTCCTACTAGGCAATTATAAACCCACTAAAATTGAAAAAAATGAAGCACACAAATGGGACATAAAGAGAATAATAAACTCAAATGTAAGGAGGTATATAGAGAAAGCACACTAATCCTGCAACATTGATAGCTGGTATAAATGCTCCCCAAGACCCACTAACTCAGCAAAGTCACCCTTTAAAGATGGGGTCTTACTCTGTGCATCACTTAAGCTGTGTGGTGTATTAGTCGCACCAGCCCATATCCCTGAAGATCTGAGAGACTCTTACCGTGGTGGGAACTTCCTTGGTGGCTTCCTGGTACACATGCTGCTCCTTGACCAAGCTGCTGGGGAAATAACCCACTATTCCCATCTCAGCCTGGTGACCACCATATACCTAAGAGGCCAAGGGAGTACAGGTCAGTGCAAAGTTGATGCTAAGCTAAGGTCTCTCAGAAAGTGAAAATAACAGAACTGCCAACGCCTTTCTTTGTTCTGTGTTCCAGGACACTCAGGGCCCGAATTTGAGCTTCTCTCACAGAGACTATGTTAAACCATGGGAGCAATGTTGCTATTTTCTCATGGCCCAGTTTGACTTGTCTCATTATTTAGCATTAATTTTTTTATGCAATCTTGAGACTTGCCTGAAATCTCTTTGGAGTCCATAGAAAAGAAAGTCAGTAAAATTTTTTTAAAAATAGACACAGTTTTTAGCAATTGAAATGAGCATACACTAGAATGCATTTCAGTTTAATCCTTGATTTTTTTGGACCTACCTTTGGGGTGGTGAAGGCAGTAAATCAACCTGGCTTCATCCCTCCCCCAGGCCCACTCTGTCTGTTTTAACTGAAGGAAGCAGATCTTTGGAATTAAAGATGCTGCTAAGGTTTCCTAAAACAATACACAAACATAGACTGGCTGCCAGCACCCACACCTTTCCCTTGGCAAACCTTCTCCACATTTTTGAATGGGATTCAAACTCTGTAGGACATGCAAGCCTCAGGATGTGTACAGCCCCCTTTCCCCCAAAAAAATATCACATTAACCCACCTCTGATTTTGTTATCTTTATGTCTTTAAAATGGAATTAGAACAAATATACCTGAACTTTTGCATTTGCATTTACAATCTCTGTATTGTTCTTACCAGCTATTTTTAAACATTACAATGGGTTGAGGATAGGAACTTGAAGAAAAATTAAGAGCAGCATGTGTCAAAAAGTGTGCATATTTTTAATAAACTCATCTTACACTGCCAGCCCAAAACTCTCCAGCTTCATTCTCTTTTACCAGCTTTGAATAGATGTAGATCTGCTGTCCTTTTTTAACGTTAATGAATCTGCAGTCCGGGGCACTGTAATCTTCTTGGGCTCGAGCCAGAGAAATAGTATCTGGAAGATTTAAATAAATGAATAAATAAATAAATACCTTGAAGTGACTACATTTCATAACAGTAAAAAAGCAAAGCATGAGAAAAGCAGGAAGTCAGAGTGACTAATACCACTGAGGGTGCAGGGGTTCAATTCAAACAGAATTAGAGCCCAAATACTAGAGGCACAACATAGTGAATTCTCCATGGTCAGATGCCAAACTCACAGACCCTGGGATCCCATGCTGATAAAATACATGTCAGAGAAGATTCACTTCAAAGTACAATTTAGTTCTAGGCTGTCAGTGGATCTCTTTACAATTATATAATATAAACATAATGAAAAGCATTTAAAAAAAACTCCTTACAGACACACTCGTCATCCGCACACAGCTTCTTGGAAGCAAGTCTATCCATAAATACGCCATGCCCCATGCATGCAGCCATGAGGCCCAGGAGAAAACACAACAACATTCTTGCCATCTTCCCTTTTGCTGTTTTGACTGGCGCTCTGACTAGAAGTGGGGACTGAGTGCAGTGGTTCCTGCCTTTTATGTGGAAGCCAGACCTCTGAGTAAATAGCCCTGACCAATGGCAGGGTCCTCCACCTCTACTTTCTTCACTGGCTCCCGGGCTCTGGGGCTCCTTAGCATCACATTTTTCAAAGAGAGCCAGGCTCCATGTCTTTTGCACACAAACAATAGTCTTAATGGTACACCACTGGTGCAGCAAATTTCACTGTAGTTTGTTACCTCAGTGAGAAGGACACTGCTAAGAGGACCATGAGAATTTTGAATTATTGTTTAAATCTTTAAATTTCACCCTCATATTATTTTAAGAGCAAAGACATACTAACTTCAGAGATCTGTTGAACATGTAAAATCTCTATCAATAGTACAAATGATTTTTTAAGACATCCAATTAATTAACACCTGATTTTACAAAATAAATAAGGAATTCTCTTTTTTTGGTACCGGGAATTGGCAAGACTTTGTGCTTGCCAGGCAGGCACTTATGCCACTGAGCTAAATCCCCAGGCCCTAGGATTTTTATGAATACAAATCCTTTGTGAAAGGACTTTTAGAAGTTATGCTGGGCCCACACCAGGGAAGATTATACCATATTAGTTCTTGGCACATTTTGGGCTGGGGATTTAGCTCAGTGGCCTAAGTCCCTGCCTGGCAAGCGTGGGGTTGTGAGTTCAATCCCCAGTACCAAAAAAAAAAAAAAAAAAAAAAAAGTTCTTGGCACATTTTGACCCCACCAATGAAGAAAGAAAAAGATGTGTTGGGAAGAATGGGTCAGTTCTTTCTTTACCTCTGCATAGATCAGTTTTCCTCATGATGACAGATATCTGAGACAACAAACTTGCATGGGAATGAAATTATTTTGGCTCATGGTTTGGAAGTTTCAGTCCATAGTACGTTAGTTCCACTTCTTTAGGCCCATGGTGGGCACATCATGGAGTGGGTGTTTGGTGGAGGAAACCTGCTCCCCTCATGGGTAGGGACAAGGGGAGGGAAGAGGAAGGGACCAGGCAGGGTCCTGCAGTCCTTGGTCAGGGCATGTAGCCAATAATCTTAGGCCCTATCTCTCAGAGGATCCAACCATCCTAGTGCCACCCTGGGGGCCAAGCCTTTAGAACACAGGAACACATTGGAGAACCAAGTTACACCAACCTCCTCAAAGATGTGCAAAATTTAGGCTCAAAATGTTTGTGAGTCATGGGTCATAGAGAAGCAGGTAAAGTTAGAGGCTTATGTTACATTCCCTTCTGTGTTTCTGGGCCTGTTTCCCATGAAAAGAGACTGGTAGTAGCTACATCTATTCAACAAATATTTATTGAATACCTACTGTGAGCCAGGTACTGTTCTTGGCACTAGAGATGTAGCAGCGATTTTCAACTCTGGTCCCGTGTTTTACATTCTATTAGGAAAAACAGGGGTTGCTTCCTTTTACAGGGTATCTGGGGGTGGCATTTCTCTGATGAGGTGGACACCAATGCCTACCTCATCCACTGTTTCTCGAACAGATTCCTGTCAATGCCCTCCCCACTTCTGTTGATGGTGTGGCTTCAGAGTGACACCTCCTCACTGCACCCCCAAGGATGGTCGCCTTACAAAATAAGGAATGAAGGTTCAACTTACAAACTAATTTAGTGCAAAATACTTTTCTAAGGGACTAATTGGTAAGGTAAAATGTGCCCATAGTGTAATAAGGTTTTATTGTTTGTATGCGTGTGTATGATTAAGTGCATGCAATGGAATTTTGCTGTTTGTATGTAAAAGCGATTTGGTATATGTGTGTATGCCCATGTGCCGTGGTTAGGGGAGGATCTTTTATACAGTTGCCACTGACTCAGAGGCTGGTTTTATTCAATACTTTCACTATAGATAAAGGATATTGAGGCCCCACAATTGCCTAATGCCCTTTCTTGACCACCCAATCTAAAGGTCACCCAGAGGGATTCCAGTCCTTTGCTATTTCTGTTCATCATTGTCAAATTAGAATTGGGACTTTAAATCTCCCATTCCTGCCACACATCAGGGAGAGGATAAGTTTGAAATAATTTTTGAAAGCAGAATGTCAGTGCATTTTTCTTTCCTATAATCTAAGAGGCTAAGAGTATCTCTGAGAAAACTAAAGCAAGAGCTAAATCTTCATCCTGCGTGGGCAGCTGTTTCACAGGCTGCTGCAGTCTCTAGCCAGCCCTCTACATGGGTCAGCTAAAAGACAACTGCCATCCAAGAAACACTTTAAGAAATGGCGACTTCATAAACTCGAATTGCCATGCTGTGCTCAGGGCCCCGAGGGCACAGCAAAATGGTGAAGGAAGCCATATGTTAGCCATTACAACTCAACGAAGAAGTTAAGGCTCATGTAAAGCTTTGACTGGTCTTTTAAAGGTGAAAAAATGAGGAAAAGGTGCAATTTTGTAGGGGCACCCTCTGGAAGCCTGGGATACTGTGGCATCCACACTGGGCAGAGACAGGAGGGAGATTAGCAGTTGCTCGGTAAATGGGAACATGAACTTGCAGTAATGCCACAGCAGATGGGCCGAGTGCTCCAAGCACTCTAGTCACTGAGGGTCCAGGCTGGGCTTGCTTACCTCCTCCTTCTGGACTGCAGATGCATGCTTCACACCTAGCTAGCTTGTCAGTGTCGTTGTTGCTTTACATTTTTTTTTAGTTTGTGGTTCTTAAAAATGAGGCAGTGGCTCCTTTAGCATCTAAGGAGAGGCAGAGTGGTCTCCTCTGTCCTGAAGGACCTGACTGCTTTGCCTCATGGATTTTCTTTCCCTCCTCTTCTTCAACTCCTCCTGCCATGCTGGTTGACCTCTGGCTTTTGAAAACACAGTACCCAACACACACAACTTAACCCTGCCAATGTCATGGGTCTGATGCTATCCCTTAATATGTAAGAAGCATATTTGCATCTCTTAGGTGATCTACAATCTCTGAAGGGTTAATGGAGTTTAATTTGGCTCCTGGCTCAGGGAATTCATTTCATGGCCAGTAGGCCACCACGGTAGAAATCTCATGGTGGAAGGACATGGGACAGCAAAGCTGCTCACCTCTTCGGAGGGAGGAGCTGGGGACAGTACACCCTTCCAGGTCACATCCCCAGTGACCAACTCCAACCAAGACTCACCTCCTAACAACACATTTAGCTATGAGCTCACCCACTCATGAACCCACTGATGAGTACAGTGCCCCACGATCCAGTCACCTTCCACAAAAGACGCACTTCTACATAGGAGACTTTTGAGGGACATTTTAGATCTAAATCGATACTGGCATTCAGTTTTCTGGCCAAGATGCCCCAGAGACACATGACCTAACAGACCTACTCCGTCTGATCCTCCAACCCAAAGCCTACCTTCCCAGCCTTGCTACAAAATGCTGCAGCAAGTCTATCTGACATGCCTGGTTTATTTATTTGATGGGGATTTGTCTCCAAGTAAGATGAGAGACCTTGTTCTTCATTCAAGCACCCCATAAAATACATAGCATAAAATCAATACCGATTATCAATCCTTCTGAACTTGTACACTCCAGTAGGTACATATACAGATGTACTTTTCCTCCCAATGGAAAGTTCCTAGCTTTTAACAGATTTAAGAAGATATTCTTAACACCACCAAATTAAGACTGTCACCAAAATGTGATCCCTAAACCTTAACTTTGGCATCAATTTTCTGAACTAGTATGAGACCTCACCCCAGATTAAATCTGAATCTTTACCTTAACAAGATACCCATATGACTCACATATGCTAAAGTTTGCAAAATGCTACTTCTGGGCAAATCAAAGAGAGGAAAACGAAAATTTAGGGCCAGGGATTTTGTTCAGCGGCATAAAGCCCTGCCTGGCAAGCGTGAGGTCCTAAGTTTGATCCTCAGTACCAAAAAAAAAAAAGAAAGGAAAAAAGAAAATTTAGCCAGTACTTCAAGGAACAAAAATATGTCTTAAACATGCAGACAGGAAATACTACGAGCTTGAAGTAAGGTTGTGAGCTTCCTGCAAATTTTAGTTTTATACTATCTTCTATTTATCAATATGCTGCCTTTGAAAAAATATCACTTGAATTAATCACCTACTTATTGTAACCTTCATAAAGGTAGAAATCTGCTGTTAATTCTTAACCTTGACTTACATTAAACTTACCCTCAGAACTTAATTCTGGTGACTGTGTTTTATTGAATGATTTAACTGATCTATGAAGTGCACTGGGCATAAGTAGTCAAAAATGTCTCTTATGTGATTCCAACATACAAAGCTGAGATCTGCTATTATCAGTAACACAACTACCATACTTGCTCCAGTCCTTCCTAAAAAGTTCAAACAGGAAAGCCAAAACATCCTGATTTGATCAAATTGTTTGCCTTCCTCCATCTCAAAGTATAGTTACCTATGGAAGTAGTGTGGTTACCTATGGGAGTTCTGAGCAAATAATACAGAGGTTAATAGAACTGGTGAGAAAGGGAGCTATGTCCCAGGAAAGGAGGAAACACCAGAAGCTTTTGGGGTACAACCTGAGGCACTGTTGTAAATTCATAGTTTTTACATTATTGTATAGATTTATCTATGGATGGATGAATACACAGGTAGTTTCTGTCTGTATGAAATTGAGGAAAGGCTGAGGAAACTCAAGAGACATGACTACATATAACAGGATTCTAGATTGGATTCTTGGGCTATTGGCAAGATCTTGGTTTTATAACATGGCACTAATATTAAATTTCTTATTTTGATAGTCTTACAACCTTATCAAACACAGACACTTTGAGGGCAACATACAATCAGGTCAACAATCTTGAATAGTTCAGGAATGTCAACAACTGGTAACCCAAAGTGTCTACAGAAGTTCTACGTACTATTTCTGCAAATAAAAACTAGAAATTGTATCTAAACTAAAAAAAATTAAAAAGCAAATTAGATGTTACTCCTCTGCTCAAAACCCAACATACAGCCACACAGACCAGTATATCAATGTTCATATGTCCACTGTCACTTTATCCGTAACAGCCCCACATTGGAAGGAACACAAATGCCCAACCACTGATGCAGGAAACTCCCCACTCCTTCCAGCTCAGATCCATCTCAAAGGCAGTCCAGATGGGCCAAACCACCGTGACAGAAAGCAGTGGGTGCCTGTGGCTGGTGGCAGAGGGAATCATTTTTCTGCAAAGCGTCATGAGGAAACTTCCTGGGGTGATGCAAAGCTCTTTATCCTGATGATGATTATGTTACTGTACAACTGCCCAAACTTGTTAAAGAAGTACTAAAACAGGTGAATTTTACTTTTCATAAATAATTCAAGCTTTACAGTCCTCTAAGAGTTCCCATGTCACTGAGAGTGTAAGTCCTTGAAAAGGCTGCTCCACACCCCTGGCTCTCACGCCACTCTGGTCCTACTGGCCTTCCTCCAATGCAGCCACTTGGAACTGGCCCACAGCATGGGACCTGAGACGAGCAGTGGCTGAGAAAATAAGCTACACAACTACATCCAAGAGCAACTCACCATTACTGAAGCATACGCGTGTGACTGCTGGGTTAAAAAAAAGTTGTCTAGAGGAGGCAGATGCAGTGGTTGTAGGAATAAAAATTATTTTGTTTCCTCCCATTTAAGGTATAGACAAAGGAGATGCAATAACAGTCTGTTTATCTAAAAGTGGCCTTTCTCTCAATACACAACAAGGGCAAGTTTCGTTCAAGGAAACACTAAAACACAAATGTCAAAGAGTATTTCATATGCATCATACCTGCAAAAAACTGTCCATTTCTAAAGATCCTCATGGTGGTAAAGCAGGAGGAATTGACAGTGTTAAGTATAAAACAAATTTCTGAAGGACCTTTGGAAATATCTGAACATTAATGTTTAAGATTACAAAGAGGCAGCAAGATTAGCACTGCAATTGCCAGTGCCAATTAGCCTATCTGTCCTAAAAAAAGATTACAGATTAAGTCCTCCCTTTGGGGTCTTTCAATAATGAAGTTAGATACTAACCAAACAGTACCCCTCAGCAACAGTGTCACTTCAAGAAAAAAATCAAAATTTAAAGGCAGTGGATGTTTTTGTTGTTTTCTTAGAAAACAGTAAATATACAGTTACTCCTAAATAACCTTTGTTAAATACTGAATGAGAGGTTCATGAAATCCCCACCTCCAGCAAAGTACAGTATTCATTTTCCTGAAGGACACAAAGGTCAAATTCAGATCTTGCTCAGGTCTCATTTTCTCTAATACCCAGGATGATCTATCTATTTTAAACATTAATGCATTAGTCTCTCCTTGTTGAAATGGTTCAGTGTTGCTGTATCAGTTATTCTAAAATAACTGAAAAACACTGATAGTTGTAAATGCTTAAGATGTGTTCTAGACTAGAATAAGCATTTCACAACAGGACAATGGGCAATAAACAAATTATTATATATTCAGAATACAAATAAAAGTTTATTGTACAAAATTAAGGCCTTAATATTACACAGTTCACTAAGGCTAAAGAAAGACTAGATGACTTAGTCTTTCATAAAAACTTATCTCTCCCCTACCCTCAACCTTTACTAGCCTGAACAAATGTTGTCAAAACAAACACCATAAATAACACCAAGTCCCTTAAAGATGCCTCTCCTGAGGTTATTTCTTGGCGTAGGTGATCTTCATTGCATGCGATGGTGTGATCTTAAACCCTTGCAATGCATCCCTGGCAGCTCCAGCCTGCCCATCGTTTTCAAACTCCACAAAAGCAATGTCATGCCTTCCAGGTACCAGACGAACTTCCTTAAAACCAGGGAACCTGCAAGGAATACAAACAATTCATATGTACATACACAATGCATCTGCTCTGTGTTTATATGTACAAGTGCCTTCCTCGTACTGGCCCAGGAAAAGCAACCATATACCACCAAGCACCTTGATTAGGATGGAAGAGTCTAAGCCCTAACTAACACCATGAAAGAACTGAAAATATCTATGCTGATTCTGTTTTTGTCATTATGTCAAAGCTCTATTCCTGTTTTGCTCAATAGTTAGAACTGATAATTCAAACAGCAAAGAATATTCAGCTTTCTGTTCGCTAAATCTGCAGACTGGCTTCAATTCCTGATTAATCCCAGGCCAGATCAATGAACCCTTAAGGAATGACTGCTGCGGGATGACAAACACTTTCAGTTTGGGGAAGCTGGGAACCTCCCCCCCCCCCCCCAACAGACTTGTGTCTGTGCAGCGACTTACTGATTAAACAGCATGGACAACATCATCTCGTTAGTCTCTTCCGGTAAATTATTAAGGAATAAAATATAGTTTGGAGGGTAATCAGGGACCTATAAAAAAAAAAAAAGGTGGGGGAGCAAAGTTAGCTTATACGTGTGAAAAGCACTGTAAACCATTTGGTTCCTACATTAAAACCTGAACTCCAGAGTGCTATATTCCAGTTTATATAGGCTTGTGAAATCTTATGACAACAAACACTAACACTGGAAAACAACGACATCAAGAAATAAATATAAACCTAGCAGCAATTAAGTGAAGCAGATGTTCACGTCAAAACACCCCAAATGTGGAAGACTGCTTTAAAGGCTTTAGGTACTTAATTAACAGTATGTAGAACAATATTTACGCTTTCAGCATTTAGAAGTCACTTATAATTGGAGAATTCTGTCATGAAGAATACATAATTAAAAGAACCTAATAAAACTCGAGAAGCAGCCATGCTAAGCCTCCTCTGCTGGACACCCACTCAGGTAACACTCGGTACTCAATCCTCTGCACTGCTGTTTACAGCTGCTTGTGGTGGAAAGTTACTACTGAGAAACATTTCTTGGTGCCTGGCGTGGCCCCGTTTTATCTAGAAACAACTGCATTATCCGATATTGAACTATTTGATGCCCCACCCTAAGTAGTGGATCCTGTGCAGAGGACCACTGTTTTAGGGAGAGAAGAGAGCAAGTGTCAACAACAATGAGCAAATAACTCAAGGCTTAAGAGAACCAGCTGCCGGCATCTGTGAAATGGACTATAAATGCTTGGCAGGAAAAAAAAACAAAATGCAAATGACTTAAAATCTGAGAAAAGGCTTAGTGGACAAAGAAGTCTCTGTATTTATGGAGCTTACCAGACCTTTAATATCTCCGGAACCAAGTATAAAACCGTTAGCACAAAACTTGTCTCTTTGCTTTGAAGCATTTAGTGGGAGATTTGTAAAGGGTTTTCTAAAACATACATATGAGAGACTTAAAATTTAAGGTTAATATGTATTTGTGCAAAGGAAGTAAGAACAAGGTTCACTCCGTTCCCTAGGGTGAGAGCTGAGTGGGCCAAAAGCAAGAGCCAAGGTTGTGGCTGTACCAGGCATCTGCACTGCACAGAGGATGAGGCCCTGGCTACCCACTGCAGGAAACACTCTTGTCCAGCCCTCGGAGATTCAAATCTGCCATTCCGATCCTGCCACTGATTCATTATGGGAAACAAGTTTTGTTTTCTTCCTCTTAAAAAATTTAAGCTGCTGTGAAGAGTAAGCTTCTAACACTTAAAGTGGTATGGATGGAATAATTTTGGTTTTAAATACACAAATTATTTTGTATTATTGTTACGGTTCTTACAATTTTAGAGTAAGCATCACATGGAAAAAATATTACCTGAGGATTTGGTGCTACATTTCCTTGGGTATTAGCAGTTGAAATTCCCTAAAAGAAATAGGGAAACAATTAAAATTTCCAATACCTCTAAAAAAGTAACAGATGTCTGTAACACAGTATTTCCAGAATTTTTAACTCCACTTAACTTTATGAACTTACATCTTAACTCTGACATAAAATTCATGTATTTAACTGATCAATGATTTCTGAAAAGTCTGTTAAATTTTTTTCCTAACAATTTTTAAAAGAACATACCATAAAATTTAACACCTACATTCTAAAATGGAGAATACATGAGAAAAACAAGGATCAGTCTTATTTTTAAAAAACTGTATGTATGAGGGGCTGGGGATTTAGCTCAGCGGCATAAGTGCCTACCTTGCAAGCAGGCAGTCATGAGTTCGATCCCTGGTACCAATAAAAAAAACGAAAACCACAAAAAAACACAAACAAACAAACAAAAAAAACTGTATGTATGCACACTAAATGAAAATGATTTCTAGCCACTTTAATCCAGAAGTAACTATATTTTGGGTGACAATTTCTTTTATCTTCTATTTCGAATTGTATACCTGAATTGCTGAAAGAAGTTCTGAGTGGACTGCTCACAATAAAGACAGTATTTACAATACTATTTATAGGCAGAAGTTAAATAAGCCAAGAGATATTAACATATTTTGGGAAAAGATGGAATTAAATGTCATACACATTAAAAAAAATCTATACATCTCCATATGTAAAGGTCTGTATTTTATTTTGTTGCTGAACTATAAACACTGTAATTTTAGAACTTGGTCATTCCAATCCCTAAGAATTCCACCTTTTAGACACACACACATCACAAATGCATAACCTAAAGATCATCCCGCACAAGTATGACAAGCGTCCAAAAATATGAACTTTGTCTGTCTCACCTGGCCAGGCTTTTTGTTTGCAGTCATTGCAGTCTGTTCCACTGTTTTTGCTTTTTTCTTTTCTTTTTTCTTTTCTTTGTCAGCAAAAGTGCCACGCATTTTAGATATTATATCAGAATCTGTTTTTGCATACTGGATTCGCTGTTTATATTAATGAAAGCAGGTTACTTCTCATCAAGCTGAAGGCTGTTCACCGCAGTCAGTTTCAAATTCCACTACACAAACATACTATGAGCTAATTTTAAACACACTTCCTAAGGAAATGGTCAAAATACACTTACTGCCAGATGGAACTAAACTGTGGCCTATGATGTGCAACTTAAGAGTCTGATTTGACAATATTTATTAAAAGAAAAGCCATCTGTTTTTATATGGGGAAAACAAGACTGAAATACCTGCACCACGGCTGCTCCCAGTTAGTAACAGGAAAGCACACTGGAAATGTGTCTGCCTCTCAGCGGTGAGCCTGGGTGGGGTTCCATGTGTTATCAGCTGCAAATGCGCCATATGGAATTATTCCTCTCAGTGCTTAATGCACTCAGGATTGGTAACAACTTCCCTCGAAATCCATCATTTTTAAATGAAATGACTTTAATAGCAGCTGTAATTTAAAGTGTTTTGAAAAGAAACAGGGGACAGCATGACAGCTCGAGCAGCTGGGCAACTCATGGCTGCTCACTACATGGGCGCCAGCAGGAATGGGTAGCACCCATGAGCAGGGGCGCACTTGCTCACAAGGGGCCGAGCAGGGCTTGCCATCAGCTGTGACAAGCATCCAGCAGCCTGCACGGCTTGTCAAAGCACTGGTGTGGTGAGCCCTAGGTTTTGTGGTTTCAGCAAGGACAAAGGGGACAGGCTAAGGACAGCTCTGGCCTAAAGCATCACCATGCAGATGCAGTCAGTACCAATGAACCATCCAAGTGTTTTGGCCAGTGACCTAAACTGTTATCTAAGGTGTGATTGTGAGGATTGCAACTTCCATTCCAAGCCACCAGTGGGAAACGTAACTACCTCTCTGACCACATTAAAACACAGAAGCCCTATAAATTACTATCTAAAATTGTCCCTTTATAGAAGAATGTGATTTTAGTCTTAAGAGAGACAAAGCAGTAATTTACAGTAGTGTAAGTCAGAAGGCAGGAGATGTGTTAAAACCAAGAGCAGTTCTCCCTTCCCTGTCCTTCAGCCGGAGCTACATGCAGCAAAGCAGGGAAGCGGTCCTGTAGTGCCCTCTGGGGCTGTTCCCTTCTCCTCTCTGTGGGCTTCCCAGCCAGCAGCTGTAACAGCCTCACCTGGCACCAAGGACAAGCTGCTGGGTCAGGCAGGCAGAGTCTGCCTTGGCTACAGCTCCCCGATGTCTCCAGCCTCATCCCTGACCTGAAGATACCTTGGTGACCTGATTTGTGCATCTTTATGGAACAGTCACTAGTGAAGATCTGCTTTCAGTTACAGCTCCCAGATAGTCTAAGCCAGGGGTTTTCAACCAGAGGTGATCTATTCTGGCTGGCGGACAGCTGGCACCATCTGCAGACACAGCTAGCACTATCTGTAGACGCTGCTGGCGGTCATGGCTCTGGCATGCAGTAGCTGGAGGCCAAGGATGCTGCTGGCACCCCACAACACCCAGCAAGGACTCTTCCAACAAAGATATCTCACTTTAAAATGTCAGAAGAGCTGCTGCTGGGAAACCCTGGTGTAGACTACACACCACTAATTCATAAAAGTTTACCCATAACTCAAAGATACAAAAGGACAAGATTTACATTTATACCAAAAGGTTCATGACAGAAGCCCTGAGAAGATGGTTTCACTTTAGTGAGGTATTTCTGAAATTAAACACAGACAGTCAATCTGTTCTCAGTTATGAGTTAGAGAAAATTTTGCTCATTTATGATGCTGGACTTAAAAGAGCAACTAAAATCACTTAGCTACACTGGACCTGATAGCATACACGTGTAATCCCAGGTAATATCAAAATATAAAAAGGGGTAAAGATGTAGCTCCTTGGCAAGGCCCTGGAAAAAGCACTTAAACTAAATATAAACAAGACAGCTGAAAGAATTTTATTCCATATAAAATCAGACCAATTAGTTTCTTCCACCAATTTTAATTAGTTAGCAAGATGAGGCTGATGAGAAACACAGCAAAGGCTACCTACCCTGTACCCGAGTTACCAGGCACATGTAAACTTGTCATCTCAACTCAGCAAAATGGCTCCAAACCCAATCTTAGACTCCTGTCCACTGAGATCTCAATTATGCTACTTTTTAGACTAAGACCAGGAGGTTTCAAGAAATCCCAATTTACTGAAACTCAGGGTTGAATGTGGTATAAAATGGGGTCTCCAAACTCCAGTTTAGGACTAACTCTGCCTGTTTTTTTAAGTTAAGTCTTCTGACCCACAGGTACATCTACTCCTTTTCATCCCATCTATATAGCAGCTTTTCCTGCCAGAAAGGCAGCACAGTGAGTGGTTCCAATAGAGATCAGCTGGCCTACACAGCCTACAGAAAGTTCCCCGACTGCTAGTATAGGGAAAAGTTTTCACTACTAGATGTTAGGAGATTATTTCAAGTCCCAATGGCACCACTGGTTCTAGAAATACAACATGCATGAACAATGAACCTTCCTGTTTCTGACTCTTTATCACTGGAATAAAACAATTAGACCAATGGTCTGCATTACATCTTGAAGGCCAAATCTAGCCTGTGGCCTATTTTTGTATGGCCTTCAAATTAAGAAAAATTTTAATACAATTTTAAAAGTTGTTAAAAAATATTCACCCAAAATATATCAACAGAAACTGCGCACAGCCCACTAAGCTTAAAATAGTTTTCACCTGTCCTTCAGAATTTGTGTTGAGACCTAAATGGGATCAAAGGTTAACCAACCTGCTGACACAGGTGGTGAAACTGGCCATGGGCACAGAGCCAGTCAGTGGAACCAAAATGAGGATCCACAGATCCTCTAAATCCAAGACTGCTTCACATCACGTCCCAGTCCCAAACAGCAAGCAGTTTGGAGTCCACACCCAAAGGCCACATTCACACAAGCAGGGCTGTGACTGTACACTGTGCCCACCCTTACCAGTCCTCTGCCATTACTGACTTACACCAAAGGCTCCCCTTTGGTAGCTGATCTCCCTGTTGCCCCGCTGGTAGCAGCTTGATATGGATCTCATCTTTCCTGAGTTTAAAGTTCTTCATGTGTACCTCATTCATTTTCATTCAAGGTACTCATAACTGTGTACATTAAACCTGCTTTCCCCGAGATCACTGCTTTGACTAGGCTGGCTAGCTTCTGACATGCATTATTTCCCCATAATGCCTGCTAAAATTTCAGCCTGGACGTGCTTCTCACATAAGATATTTTATTTTTATGTTGTTTTATAAGTTTACAAAGTTTGGGGCTGGGGATTTAGCTCAAAGGCATAAGCGCCTGCCTTGCAAGCAGGCAGTCGTGAGTTCGATCCCTGGTACCGATAAAAAGGAAAAAGACAAAAAAAAAAAAAAAATTAAGTTTACAAAGTTTTATAAGGTTTCTCTGTGTTCTGTGTTAACTTTTATCTTTTTTTAAAGAATATCACATGTGTTGCCACCATTATTTTAAAAATGTATCTCAATACACTTTGGTTTTGTCATTTGAACTGATATAAATTAAAAATGCATTCAACTTTACTAGTGCATTTCTATGAATATACATCCATAACTCACCCAACACGCAATTAAAAGCTTAAAGCAATAGCCACTATTTACAAATCTATTCTACTCTTAACAGTAATTAAAATGAATGTAAGAGGTTAACTCACCATTGGTTTACCATAAAAAGGGAACCCTTGTAACTGCCTCAAGGCATTTGTGGATGAACCCAGTTCTTTAAATATAACAAAGGCCTGGCCACGCATCTTCATGGTCTTTAAAGCTACAATATCCACCACGTGCCCAAACTGAGAAAACAGTGCATACAGGGACCGCTTCAACTCTGGTCGAAGAGGGAAAACAAGTTATTTGAGAATGAAAAATGACAAAATTCTTCACAAAATGGCACTACACTGAATGTTCTCCACTGCTCATTTATATAGTTACCTGTTTTAATAAAAACACGTACTAGTCCCATTAAGTTATTTGAAACCATTATGAGTAAAAACCAATTGGTGAGTCTCCACTTTTCATTTTTAAAAGGCTTTAAAATCCTTACACCAAATGGAACGAAAAGGATAACCATATAAGTTGTGGAGTAGTATAGTTCCTTAGATGGTAGTAAAAAACATTTTAGCTGTGAATAAGTTTTGTTTTTTGTGTTTTTGTCTTTTTGAGACAGGGTCTCCCTATGCAATTCATGCTGGTCTTGAGCTCACTTTGTAGCCCAAGACTGGTTTTGAACTTCAAGGATCCTCCTGCCTTGGCCTCCCAGTGCTGGGATTACAAGTGTACACCACCATGTTCGGCTATCAACAAGTATTTTAAAAAGTATATACCTTCTTTTTTAATTTTGTCATTCATATTGTTGATATAAATAGTATGATTTGGTCTGATATCCATGTCTGGGTAACAGAAACTGTATGTAGTCCACAAAGTATAATTTTCTTCAGATAACCTGAATAGACAATAAACAATCTATTAATCACAGCAAGGATTAAATCATACTGAAGTGTAAAGAAATACCACGAGTTATTAATTTTTCAAAGTTCTTTCAATCCCAAATGTCAGAAAGCATCAGCTAATCAGTAACTTTAATTCCTCCCTAGCATCTGATAGCCCATGCAGGCTCAAAACTAGGTAGAACATCAATTAGTACACAAAGTTCAGTAATATCAGTACATGTGGGGTAATGAATACCTTTATTCTTGCCTTCCAGTTATGACAAATGATACTACTGTCTTTTCATTTACACACGGCACTTCATGGGTAGCTTACCAAGCACCTGCGTGTTTAATTCTTAAATCTGTACCAAAGTTGTGTGGTCAGGAGCTCGGATTATAGCACCAATCCAGATCTAAATTCCAATCCTGTCTGTACTTCTTACAAGTCAATTTGCTAGAAGCCAATTCCTTAATATCTCAGGTCTTCAAGGGAACAGTACCAGCACCAACCCAACGTAACTCAGAAGATTCATAAGAGAAAGGTTTAACTGTTCTTGCATGATCAATACATACCTAAGAAACCTATGATGAATGACTAGTACAAGTTAAGGGATTTGCCTAAAGACACAGTCAGTAAGCAGCGGGCCTGTGAATTCAGCCCTCGCATTTTCCCCTGACCGTTTCTCTCACGCTCACTGCGCTATTTCATTTTCTTATTTTACACTATTTTGAATTCATTTTTACATTGAACCTTTCACAATTTTTTTTCTCGCTGCAAAAAAAGAATCTGAGCTAGCCTATTCCCTTGGTGCTTTACATATTTCTCTAGCTCACAAATACTTTGCATGCACCCACTGGACGTGAACAGCACAGAATGATTAACGAGCCGAGAGCCTATGCAGACGGTCAGTGCTTGTACCATCAAAGGCAGTGCTTCCTGAAGGCTTGTGAACTCCTACACTGAAACTTGGAGAAGGACTGGCGTCTCGAAGCAGACAATTCAAAGAAAGCGACAGCTCCAGGGCGGGCGCTGAGGACAGCCCTGGGGATAGCGGGCTGGAAGACCGGGCCACCTGGAGATGCTCTATCCCTTAACCTTAAAAAAGGAGCTGCTAAAAGGCACCAGTAGGCCGGGCGCGCCGTCAACGCTCACACAACCAAGCGGGTCTCAAATTGTCCTTTGATTCCGCAAGCGCAGCCGCCCAGGCCGGAAGCCCAACCGGCTGTCCCGCCATCCCCCAAAAGCCTCGCTCGGCCGGCGCGCCAGACTCCATCCCCTCTCCGCCCACGAGCAAATCCAAGCCCCCGGACCTGACCTTACCTCTGTGTCCGGTGTCCTCTGACCTCCGGCGGCTGAGCGTCTGGTCGAGGAACCCCGGGAATCCCACCAGCGAGGTTCACAGCTCTCCAACCCACCCACTCGGAAGCCGGAAATGGAACGAGCACCGGAAGTGACGCTACCAAGCTCCTTAATCGAGCGCCGGGAAGTGGAGAAGGCGAGCGCCGATTAGATCGAGTCTCTTCCAGGGGACACTGCTGGGACTGTTCTGCGCGTGCGCACACTGTGGGCGCGGTGAAGTGGCGGGAAAGGGGACTAGGAAGGGAAAAAAGGAAAATTGTGCTGGAAGTGGGAACCTAGGTTCATAGTGTGAGGGACAGGAGACAGGAGCGGGGTAGTGGTTCACTCCCGTTACCACGACTTTAACGGCGTCACTCCAGACAATGAGGCCATCTTTCTAAATCCTATGTAATCGAGGTTTTGTTTGTTTGTTTGTCTTTTTGAGACAGGGTCTCACTGTATAGTTCAGGTTCGCCTCACTTTGTAGTCCAGACTGGTCTTGAACTCTCAACCATCCTGGTGCCTCAGCCTCCTGAGTGCTGGGATTATAAGTGTGTACCACCACTCCCCGCTCTAATCCTGTTTTGTTTTTATTTATTTTTGCGGTACTGAGGATTGAACTCAGGGGCTTCACACAGTACTGCCTCCCCAGCCTATTTCTATGTTGCCCTAGCTGGGTTCAAACTTACCTCCTCAAATGTGGGATCCTAGGCTTGTGCCCCCCCCCCAATTTCTAACCCTAACACCCACACCCCCACCCCGGCTACAAATCCTGTGTAATTTTACAGCGGTTCCTCCCGCTGCCGACACTGGCAGGCAGGACAGTTTCACGCAATCTGCAGGACAGCTAATGCCCTTACAGCCAAGTCTCTGACTCCTGGTCCTCAGGGTATTCTCCAGCACTCTGTTTCTCTGTTTGAATCTCAGGCAGTCCAGTCTGAGGCCCCAGAGCAAACAGAAATGGTGTTGGTAGTTCATTCTCTCACCAGGTAAGACAACTATGCTCTGCTCCAAAGTACCCCATCATCTTAAAACTGTGGGCCTAACTCACTTAGAAAGGTACCTCCCTGCCTCCTTCCCACTCCCCTCCCCACAAAATGAGTAATCAAAGGTGTTAGTATTTATGTCACAAGGGACAATTCCTAAAAGAATACACATTCGTCCATTTATCCACGCATCAGATCCACTAAGGCATCTCGATTTTTAAGAACCAGAGGGAAGCTAGTCTGTGTCCTCCCCTTAGCTAATTTCTCTGTCCCTGCATTCCTTCTGTGAAATAGGCATCTTAGTAGCACCTTCTAGCTATTGGGGGATCTCAGGAGCTGACTGTGAAGAGTTAGCATACATGGTTTACAAGTGTTATTTCTGAATGCTAACTGGGATGTACACATAAAGGGTACAGTTGGGGGGACCAAACAGGTTGATTTTATCAGCTGGAGACTTTTATTACAAAAGCCTAAACTTGAAAATTATATCTTGAGGGTGGGAATTTTTGTTTGCTTTGTTTTCTCAGGTACCCTCAGTGACTAGAAAATGACTTATAAATATATATTAAATGAATGAAGGGAAAATTATGCAATACTGAAGCAAATCTACTATCTTAGGAAGATGCATATAAGTGTTGGAAATTAAGTCAAATGATTACAGAAGAACATTCTTAGGTATAAAAACTAGAAAGAATTTATATGATCCTATCTCAGTTAAAGAACTGAGAATATCAACAATTCAAAAGAAAATATGAAGTAAAAATAATTTCTAAATAACAAATACAAGCTGTTCTTCAGTATAGACATCTGAGCTATAATAATGATAATGACTAAAAATGTTCTGGAAATAAATCACCATCTAACAGTATCACATGAATGGATCTGGCCAAGTGTTCATAGCTGTTAAGAGGTGAATACTGTACAGCCATGCATCGATACTTCAGCTGGGAAGGAAACACCACAGGAACTTCAGAGGCTGAAAAGAGACCATACTGTGTTCCATGAAACTATGATTCCTGTGCATTATGCCGTGAGAAACTCAGTGGCAGGGGTCTGCATGCTACTTTCCAGGTTCTAAAAAATCAGTGCATTTTCCTGTCCACAAGCAGTCACTCTGGGGTACCTGATAATCTGTTAATGGTCCTTCTACAGTAGCAGGATAGGACATGACAAAGTGGCGGGAGCAGCTGGGCACAGGCTGCCAACTGAGGAGACAATAACCATAGGCACAGAGCACAGCACCCGAGCCTAACACGAGCTAAGGCCTGCGCCTGGTATTAGTTTTTGCCTTGAGAATGCACCAACCTTGGCCCCTGATGTCATTCTTATAGCACAAGATGAAATGCAGCAACCTGGATCAGCTATCAAAGAAGGCATGAAAGAGGGCAGCAATCAGCTTGGGGGCCACTGGTCTCTTGCTCTTGCCGGGGTCCATTCTGCTTGTAGGACACATCTTCACACTTTTTTTTTCAAAGTACCCTTTTCTCCCTGAGCAACTCTTTTGTGCTTCTCCTGCTTTTTCTTTTCATTTTATTTAGCCTTAAATAACTATGAAGATGGCAATATGTAATGTATCAACTAGCGATTTTATGTTAATTTTTTTGAATTAGTATTATTCTACTTTTTTCTCTTATTTTCTATTTTATTTTTAAAAATTTTTTCTTCTTTCTTTAAATAAAAAAATGGGGGAAAAAAGATAGTCCACTAATTGTCCTGAATAATTCATAGGTTGGAACAGATAAGAACCTATGCCCATCCCATAACATTCTTTGGATTCCTGAATGGTTTAGAGAAATCAGTGATTGAAACTTAGGCTGGAAGCAAATGAAACAAGAGAAGGGCTTAGCTGGTTTTGTGAGAAGCTGTGCTGCCCTGATTACACATCTGTGCCATCTTACATCTTACAGCATATGCAATCTCGTCACAGGTACTATAAAACAACCAGTGTTCCCCTGTGACCAAATTCTCTATAGTCTTGGACCTCTTGCTTATCAAACCAGGTCAAAAACTTATGTTTAAAAAAATGATAGACAAATGTGTTTCTTTAAAGTTCTAATCAGTTTAGAATCATACTTCAGTTAGGTAATACGATTTACATTCCTATGAAACAGATATTTTTAAAAATCATATTGAATTGAGAGCAGCACTGTAACTGCTGTATCCAACCCTCATCTATCTCCTGACAGTAAACTTCCTTACTTGAAGGACAACAGAAAAATTACCACAACCACTTGGGAATAAAACTGTGTCAAGACATCTACATTATATGGATGATAACTGAGGTGTTTCTTAGTGCCCCTACATATATTTTCCTACTTTACCTACATGTGTTTTATGTTTCTTATTAAATGTTTTCATTGTCTTGCTGCAGCAGATTTGAGAAGGGGCCATGTATAAATACAAACATCATAAAATCATGGTGGATATATTTTGTCTTATTTATGTTACAGCCACAAAATGTATGGCAGTTTGTTTGTATTTCTTTTTCTCCCCAGGTGGTGTTTATATTAAGAAATTTATGTAGAGTGAAATTATTTTCACTACAAGCATTAAACAATTCTAAGCATTATTGTTGAGCTCCAAATCAGGGTTACATTTTCCCAGGTGATAGTAATTAGGTTGGCTAAGCCTTCCTAAAAAGCAACCCTGTCACCCCCATTCAGACAGGAAATAATTTTGTGCAGTTAATTTCCTTTTATTCACTTCAGTCTATTTTATTCTTTGTAAAAGTATTGTTTTTAGAGACAAAAAATCCAGAAATGACTATTCCTCTGATGCATATGACTGTGTAAATGTTAATGGTAAAGTGTCACTCATGTCCTCCCAAATCATATGCTCAGGATGGGTGGACTCTGAGATAGACTATGATTGTGTATGCTCTGTAAAGGTTGGAAGAAGTTTGCCTTCGAGAGCCTGATAACCTTCCCAAAGAAGTGTGAAGGAAAACCCGAATTTTGTATAGTGCAGTATTGTGAGACTCAGAGGTTCTGCTCAGTACAGCACTGTCCTCTCTGGGAGTCTGAGAACATCACACACCTACCCTTCCCTAGGAGACTAGAAAAATAAGATGCCAGTCCTTAGAGATGCAACTAACAAGCAAAATGTTATGCAGTTTAATAATTCTTAAGTACAGCAGGTTTTACTTCTATGAGTCACCACAGCAAAACTTTTTGAGTTTTAAACCCTATGATATTTGAAAATCCAAATTTAAAAAGAAAAATTATCTAAAAATTTTGGTCCCTATTGTGTAAACTTAAGTATAACATATCATTGACATCACAGGTGTATCCCAGAAATCCTAATCCAGTGCTTCACAGATATTAATGTGCATTGGGGTCTTCTGGAAATTTTGTTAAAGTTTGACTTGTTAGGCCTGGGATGAGACCTGAGAAGCTTTACTTACAACAAGTTGTCAGGTAATACTGGATGCTGCAGGCCAGTCACATTGTAGGTACCAAGACCCTCAGCATTTCCAGGCAGAGGGATCATAAATTCAAGGCTAGCATGGACAACTTAGCAAGACCCTAGGGGTGGGAACATAGCTCAGTGATAGAGCACTTCCTAGTACGTATAAAGTCCTGAGTTCAATCCCCAGTACCTTCAAAAAATGTTTGAGCCAGGCATGGTGACACATGCTTATGATCTCAGCAGTCAGGAAGCTAAGGCAGGAGGATCACAGCAAGTTCAGGGTCACCTTAGGTTATGTGGTGAGTTCAAACCTAGCCTGAACTACGTATCAAGTCTCTGAAAGTAAATAAATTACATTAAAATGTTTAAATATAAGGGAGATTATCCCAGTGTCACATAATAGTTGGCCCTAGGACCAAAGAGATATCAAATTCTGAACAGATATCTTAGCCAATTTTTTGTTACTAAAAATACCCAAGGTTAAGTTTTGTATAAGGAAGAGAAACATATTTAGCCCACTGTTTTGGAGCCTGTGAACTCCAGGAATAGGGCACAGCTACTTACACATACATCTGGTGAGTATCTTCTTGTTATATCATGACATAGCAGAGGTAAGGACGAGCCAATGAGACAGAGAAAGCTCACTTTTACAGCAGAGCCACTGCCATGAAAACTTATTAATCCATTGATCCATGGTTGGACTAAGCCATGACCTCTAAACCAATGACCTCTCCTCACATG